GCAGTTTTGAAGCAAGAATGTGGACCAGTTATCTGTGTTTCACGAAAATTTACTGTTACTGAACAAGATTACTCACAAGCTCAGAGAGAAGCATTAGCTATGTTTTTGCCGTAAAAGAAATCCATAAATATTTATTTGAACCTAAATTCGCCCTTGTTACCGATCACGAAGGTTCAAAGAATATTTATCATCCTGAAAAGTCTTTAACACGTACCCCAGATGCTATGGTTCAAAGATGCAGTATTTTTTTGAGTGCTTATGACTATTGACTTCAGAACAGTAGTGTCAAACAAATTTAACACATTGACGACATTTCTCAACAATTGTTACGAGATAGACTTGATAATTCTTGTTACTGTTTGTGGTGGACCTCAGCGAAAGAGCTTAGTTAAAATATAACAATACGCAAAGTTGCCAACAATATACCGAAAGAATTAACACTACAAACCTAAGCGTGTGTCTATGATTAACGCAAAAGGTAAGAAATTACAGTTAAATTATAAAAAGGTATATTGAGCAACAAAATGGTAACAGTGTTATGAAATGAATGTTACTTGTAAGCTGCTTTCTGAGATAACAACCACAAATAAGTTCACTTGGTTAATAAAGGTTCCTCTGCACGTGATGGCACCAACAGCAAAATAAAGAAGATTAGATCCAGTAGTATTATTCAGTAATGATCCGGGCCAAAGTTCCAACGTAGTGTGGAATGGCCTAAAAGGATGTTATTATACTATTATAATCTTAAATCAAAGGCCGTGGCCGTTAAAGCAGAAGAATAGACGGCGAATACAACGTTTATATTTTAAGAATCGCGGTAGTCAAGAAGTGTTATATATAACCAAACAAAATGTATTCGTTTCTTTACCATTGATACAGAAAAACAATAGATATCGAATATAAGTGTGGTTACATATAAAGTGTGACAACTAGGAAAAATATGTGATCTTTAATTTTGTTGTTACAAAAAATCACTAGATATAAATGTCACTATATGTTTGTTAGTGCCAACTTTACCGGTAAAACGTCCAGATCTAATTAGAGAAACTCATAGATACTTTGGATTTATACTCATTGCTATAAGGAAATGTTTGAATGGGAATCTGAAACATAGATTTTCTGTCTATTATTCAAAGCAGGATGAGTTACCACTACTCATGATGGTATTTGGTGTCTAAATGGTCGTGTCGTTATTCCTCCTTCATTACATAAATCTTCAAAGTGCACATTTAGGTGGTTAAAAATTGAAGTCCTTGGCAAGCCTCACCATTTGGTGACTGAATATTTATCGTAGAGCAAACAATAGTGGAAGATGTCATAGATTGGAAAGTAAGCCTTCGAGGTGGATTTCATGGCCAATATCGTCGGAGGCCTGACAGAGAATTCGTGCAGACTGTTGTGGTCCATTTCTTGGAAAATACTATGTACTTGTAGTCACTGATTCTTTTCCGAAGTGGTTTGATGATTTTTCAAAATTTCATCAAATGCTCACTTCATAATCCAAGCATTAAGAAAGATGTTTAGTCGACAAAGGGTTCCCATGTTGTTAGTGACTGACAATGGCTCTCATTTTGCTGCGGATGTACTTACTGTCAAGTTGAATGGTACAGGATTCAGACATTTGATTACTGCTCCCAGGCACCCTTGTTCTAATGTTAAGGCAGAAAACTTCTTCAGGACACTGGAAACTGTGAAGATGCTACAGATATTTGGACTTTCACAACGCTTTAACCAGTAAAACCTACTATCAGCCGTACGTACATAGTGAAATCAAAAGTCAGAAGCGAAGAAGTTGGAAGACGTAGTTGATAATTTACCAATATCGACTGATCTAGGCTGGCTAGTGATTGTAGGGTATGTTGAACACGGCGTTCCCACTAGTGATCAGGTGTGGATACATGACCGAGTGCCTTCAGCTAGGTGAATTCATTAAAACTAACGTGGTCAGCATGTAATGTCGAAAACGTACAGAGCTATTCGTTTTGTGGACTTAATTATCGCTACACATTTATCAAAGTTCTGTAATGTCATTCTGAGTCGCTCAAGGCTTTTCTTTGACTGAAAATCCTCGGTATTAGAACATTTCATGATTTCTAGGTTGTGGTCGGCAGATACAGACACCTCGTCTATGGCGTTGTTTTGAACCGAGACAAGTAATGCTTGAACCTGTTGACGAATTTTAGACAAGAAAAGTTTTCTAAATAGGCCATCATCGAAAGTTCTTTGACCAATCACCCTGTTTCATTCTTAGCAACAAGTCTGTCTCAGAACCATGTTGCAGGTAGATATTATTGAGGCGTTGGTCTAAACTTGTCTATCTGTCAGATATCGGCGTTTCAGAATGGACAGTTTTAGAGTTCCCTAAGGTTCCGAAACATCAGTAGTAAACATATTACTTGTAACGTACCTGTTGAATTCGTGCGGTAGTGCCTTTACAACCACGAGGAATTGTGCGCGCGGATCAGTCATGCCGTGCTCGTAGAAGTCGGCTTCTGAGTAGTAGAACCAGGCCTCGATGTTTTCTGACCTGGAAGGCATTAGTTGAAAAGGAGGTGGGGACATAGTCCTAAACTTAAGTACCTTGTGCGTCTCTTCCGTCATAGTGAAATATTAATTACGAGAATGAACGAGGAAACAAATACCCGAAAACCCCAAAAAATATCACTATACATAGAAATTAGAATAAAGCAATGATTTGTGAAATTCCAAAAAGGAAATGACTATACATAGAAATTAGAATAAAGCAATGATTTGTGAAATTCCAAAAAGGAAATGACTTAAGTTCTTTCTGGCCATTTAATATCTGTAAGTATGGTGACTGACCACTGTGTGCAATCATAGAAGTGTTATGCTTTAAGTTCATCAACCTTTGATATTCACTAGTCACTTCTTGTAGCGTTATATTTGGGCACTGTTCAACTTTATCCAGAATTCTTATATCGGCATCTTCAGGGGATTGCAAGTTGCATACAAAAGCAAGACACTCAAATCGGTCTTCAGTAACACCATAAAATAGAAAATTACATTTTTACAAGATCTAGCCGAAAGTGGCTGTGATTGTGAGAGACTGCAATTAATAGACTGCGAATAACTCAAGTACGGTAAATCGTACAACAATAGTCTATAGATCAAAATAAAACTCATAATAAGAGGAACATGAATATGTATAATTTAGTTAATTAACAATTATACAAGCAAAATACAGGTATAGTATTAGTCAATAAAAAGATTCCAACAGTTACCATTCATTATTGTCGTCGGGATAAAACACACAGTAAATAGCAGCAGAATCCATAACTCACTTTTCATCTTATTTCAGACATGTCAGCTGGATGCACCTCCATTCCTAAGCTAATGTTTACTCTAGGATTCTAAACCTTTATCTTTCTCCTGTAAAATCAAACTTGTTAACCAACAAGCTAATGAGTTCAAATAGCCAGTGACTTGAGCTATAATATTTGTACAGTTTTAGTAAATAACATTGCCAGAAAAACGTTGTCTCTCTGAACTGTCTTTATTTATATAATTGTGTTATATCCCGAAGAGAATTATGAATGGTAACTTTTGAGGATTATTTATGAACCAATACTATGCGTATATGTTTATTGTATGATTGTTAACTAACTAAACTATTCATATTCGCGGTCCTTCTCATTATAAGCTTTGTTTTGTCCTACGAACTATTACCATATGATTTACCATTCTTGATTTATCCTCAGTCTATTGATTATTGTCTTCCACATTCACAGCCACTTTGGTCTGAGTCTTGTACAAATATTATTTTCTATTTTATGGTATGATGTGGTCTGTCTGTTCGTTACATAAACCCAGTATGTTTGAAATGATTGATTCATATTACAGAGGCTGTTATTGGTGTTCTCGACTTAGCTGGTTAGGCTAGGTAGAAAGTAGGACCGACATGTACTCTGGATTGTTCGCACGAGTTTCATGTGTCCGATCGATAAGTCACCGTATTCTAATTGGCAGTATCGTCACGTCATACATTAAACAGGGAACACAGGCCACACGTTCTAACAAATCAGTATTTGTAACCAGCGATTGAAATGAAAAATTTACTCAGGATTTAAAAACCAACTTGAATGAATAATTTTTAGGCAAAACAATACGAAATATAACGGTGAAACATTTAAAATAGTATTTTTCACTAAGATAGGTTTACATATTACCATTAGTAAAGTTAAGTATACCACGCCTTACAAATAAATCATTACAATAATTAAAATTGTTGCTTTTCTCTAAATAAATCAACAATAAATAGAGTTGCTATTGTAATTTTCAAATTGTTCCTAATGTGTTCGAATCATCATTCCAGCAACCTTCTATCAATAATAATAATAATAATAATAATAATAATAATAATAATAATAATAATAGGAGAATAAAATGGACCGTTTGCGTGTATCATAACTAAACTTAAAGTATAAATTATTTAAAAACGATTGTAATAATAATCATAGGTGAGCAAAGAAATATGGATGCTTGCAACTGACGAGTCACACACAAAGACGAAACATCTATCCAGTATTTTCTGATTTCCAATGGTAATTAAACTAAGATCAATTCGTGATTTAAACTATAGAAATAAATTAATACTAATTTTTCCACCTTTCATCCTAGAAAAACACTTCTTGTTTTTCTCTCTCCCCCGCCCCCATAAAACGACTCATTCATTTGACCATACTTCTCTAATTTGTATGTTGTCAAGTGAGAAATAGGTAGAAAGGAGAGAAAAAAATTCAAAAAAATTGCATGTTGATTTACCGTAAATTTTGTTTTTCTAAACTAAATTTTCTAGAATATTCAGTAGATTAATTATCTGAATAATTATCATCATCATCATTATTTACCAATCATATTTATATCAACAATTTTATAGAATATCTAATTCTAACCAAAATAGAATGTAGATATCCTTCTTTATCATCAATGTACAGATAGATGGATAGATTTGTAGTTTTATTGTTTATACAGAGTATAAGATGATGATGATGATGATGATGATGATGATGATGATGATGATGATGATGATGATGATGATGATGATGATGATGATGATGATGATGATGATGATGATGATGATGATGATGATGATGATGATGATGATGATGATGATGATGATGATGATGATGATGATGATGATGATGATGATGATGATGATGATGATGATGATGATGATGATGATGATGATGATGATGATGATGATGATGATGATGATGATGATGATGATGATGATGATGATGATGATGATGATGATGATGATGATGATGATGATGATGATGATGATGATGATGATGATGATGATGATGATGATGATGATGATGATGATGATGATGATGATGATGATGATGATGATGATGATGATGATGATGATGATGATGATGATGATGATGATGATGATGATGATGATGATGATGATGATGATGATGATGATGATGATGATGATGATGATGATGATGATGATGATGATGATGATGATGATGATGATGATGATGATGATGATGATGATGATGATGATGATGATGATGATGATGATGATGATGATGATGATGATGATGATGATGATGATGATGATGATGATGATGATGATGATGATGATGATGATGATGATGATGATGATGATGATGATGATGATGATGATGATGATGATGATGATGATGATGATGATGATGATGATGATGATGATGATGATGATGATGATGATGATGATGATGATGATGATGATGATGATGATGATGATGATGATGATGATGATGATGATGATGATGATGATGATGATGATGATGATGATGATGATGATGATGATGATGATGATGATGATGATGATGATGATGATGATGATGATGATGATGATGATGATGATGATGATGATGATGATGATGATGATGATGATGATGATGATGATGATGATGATGATGATGATGATGATGATGATGATGATGATGATGATGATGATGATGATGATGATGATGATGATGATGATGATGATGATGATGATGATGATGATGATGATGATGATGATGATGATGATGATGATGATGATGATGATGATGATGATGATGATGATGATGATGATGATGATGATGATGATGATGATGATGATGATGATGATGATGATGATGATGATGATGATGATGATGATGATGATGATGATGATGATGATGATGATGATGATGATGATGATGATGATGATGATGATGATGATGATGATGATGATGATGATGATGATGATGATGATGATGATGATGATGATGATGATGATGATGATGATGATGATAGTGGTGGTGGTGGTGGTGACAGTCAATGAAGATTCTTCCGAAAAAGATAGTTAACGATTTTATACTATTCTGAAGACTTATCAACAACAGTCTTTGAGGTAAATACTTTCTACTAATCTTACAAATCATCACTTCAATCCTTGGTATGGATATGAGTGTCGATGTTTGATAAATCGAATATCTGGACTAAATAGTCTTTGAGTTTTTAATACTACTTTAAGTTATCTCAGTCTATGATGAATTAAATATACATAAATTAAATTAGTCTCTCCAACGCATTTCGTCAAGTGTGCTACTGCGTGTTCTCAACCTCTTGATTAGCATTAGTGTGCAGTTGATTTTGTGAATTCTTGAGTTGATACTGCTGAATTTGTGAATTTGATCTGTGTGTGTTGGCTTCCGATATACTCGAGAATCCAGCTTCGTTCTATCGGTTCTGTAGATTAGTACATCTGAAAATCGTAGTGCGTTGTCCGACTTCTTTTCCACTGTGAATTTTATGTCATAGAAGACGTTGTTAATCAGATTATAGGTGTTTTACAGCTCGTCTATATTGATGGTAATGAATATGTCGTCCATAAAACGAACCCATATTTTTGGGCTTGATCATAGGAAAAGTAGAAACTTCCAGTGAATGCATCACTGCTTCTGAAATAAATCCTGATATTGGTGATAGCATTGGTATTCTTTCAGTTTGCTAATTGATTTTATTGTTGAATAGAAAACATGTTCTTAAACACAAATAGATGAGTTCTCGTAGACTTTAACTTAGAGGCTTTGTAAACTTTGGGAGATTTGTGTCATTGGTGAGCATTTGGGATGGAGTTTCCTTTGATAAGCTTGTTTTGGTTAAAGTGAATAAGACTGTTGCATCTAAGGATAAAATCAGTTCTTCTTTATTGATAAGAATATCATTAACATTAACCAAATGTTGTATGGGAGGTTTAATGGAATAATTGAATGGGTTTACTAAGCGGTTCAATAATATTGAAATTTCACTCGGTAAGTTATAAGTTGGAGTTGGGATTTTCACTTTGCATAGTTTCGGCCTATCATAGAATCGTGGGTGTACTGATCTATTGGACTTCATTTCCCATCGCATCTTCAGTTCATACAGCGAGCCCGAAAACTGCTGTCTCGAATGGCAATGAAAATCTTTTGAATATGTCACACACCTCAAAACAAAACCTGGAACATTTTGGTATTACTATGATTTGTTACCTGCTCAAGCTATTCTTGCTTTCTGAAAATACTTGGAAACTGTTCAGAATATAACATCAAAGGTTTGTACACAAAAGATTGATATCGCGATACCAAATAGAGGAAAATACCAATTATTTCTCTTATCAAAATAACTTTGAATAGGTTCAATATGGCCATAGAAGGTTGTGTAATTCCTCTGTGGTATAGTGTTAAAATCGATAAAACTATCACTTATTTTATAACAGCATTTTGTAGGTGATATGTTCTCTGAACTGTATAGTTTAGTTGTGAAGCTTAAATAGTCTTTCTAGACAACAATATCAGAACATTTTCCAAAGAGAAGTAAAACATTAAAATTGCTATACAGTTGATTAACGGACTGTTCCGTTAACATAGGATTTATTTGGTTGTCATCCATAACTGTATTAGCGTTGTTTATTGATTTATTTTGACTTCCGTCTCTATGGAGTTGATCTCTGACTTCGTAGTTGTTAACTTCTTTTACTTATATTCTGGCAAATTAGTCAATTTATGTATGTTTACGATCGGTTAATGACCTCAGTGTTATGGTTCTATAAATTCTGATTTTCACTGAATTTTCTTTGTACAATCTTTAGGATGAGCTACTACAAAAAATTTTCACAAATGTTTTATATTCCATTATAATCACTAACAAATTGTGGAGCATTATGATTCATTTCTTAAAACACAAAAGCTGAAGTTGTTGGATGAAAACTAGGGTATCTATTCACAGAACAGTATTTTCCAGAATTAGGTAGTGTTCTTTAGTAATCAAGTATATAATCAAACCTTTCTTTTGACAGATGTATTGATGTGTCAGGCAATACTCTCAGGTAATGATGAAATTACCATATGTAACTGGCAATGATTAATACCACACATCATTCGTAGGCAACCTAATACTTCAAAAAGCCATAAACGACAATAAATAGGTTCTATTACACACTTGATTCGGGGATCCCTTGAATTTCAAGCATCTCTCAATCAGTCTCGTTACTTGTGGTTGAGAAAAATGCACTCGAAATAATTCACGTCTACCTACAAGTCATAGAAAAATAAACGTAAACCGAGCTTCAAACCGTTACCCTTTACCACATGTCCTAAAGTTTTGATAGTATGTTAAAAATCCAATCAGTTGTCGATTGTAACCATGGCAACTACTGCTATTCACACAATAGAGTGAAAGAATACAAACACTGATGCAGACAGAGATTTGGTTAACTCTCCAAAAGCACGACGATTTTAACTAAATTGCACCCATTTAGAAGTCGGTTTCACTTACATCTGATGATCAGGTAATAACATTACATGTAGAGAAATCTCGCAGAATTTTAATGAATGTTTGAAAACATAATAATACTGTGAACATCGAGAAACATCATCTTATTCAATCTTCTCACTAGCAACATTGAAAAAAGGACGACCAATCTCAATTGTCTAGAGTAAACTACAATCAATTAAGCCATTTTGTTGGACCAAAAAACACTATTAGAGAGTGCAACTTAACAAATGGTTAAATGTAACTCAAACTACTGGACATTATTGAGTAGTGTAACGCAACATATACAAATTTAAAACATAAGTAACATGACGATAGAACAAGAGAACAGATTTAACCTAAGAGATTATTATAAACATATATCTTAATATTAACGGGAGAGTTTTTTTCCAAAGCAAATAGAACAAACGCTTGTACATTTTAAATTTGAATGTTACATTCCACCAATGTACGATGGCACAAGAATCAACGAGAAATTGAGAAAACAGATAGACAAAATGTAATCAGAGAATCAGAAAAGTTACGAGACGGTGACATATAAAGTAGATATAGAAATTTCGAAAATGAGATCTCTCAATTCAGCCATTTTATTGATGAAGTATTGAAATAAAAGTGGATGTTTTAGTCTACCACTCTGATGATTGGAAATTTTTACTTCATACTGAAAAGTATGCCACTTGTACGTCATTCATATTCAACTGATTTTATTACGTTAGCAATAACGAGAGTTAAACAAAGAATGTAGTATAAGTGTTAATAGTAGTAGTAATAATATTGTGAGTTATAGTACAAATTCATATTATTCCATTTTCAATGAGTTTCTTAGATAATAGTCACAGTCTAATTAGATTTTTTCTTGAGTTGAGAACACACAGTATAATTGAAGACCAATTACATAAATCCCTATATAGTGGATGGGTACAGTATTTTGTAACTCAACTTCGTGGATTGGTTGAAGTTAGACATTAACACCATTGGTTGCTGGCTCAGTGGTCTAGTGGTTAAGCGTTCGTGCGTGAGACTAATAGGTCCTGGGTTCGAATCTCACGGAGAGGGATCGTGGATGTTCACTGCTGAGGAGTCTCATAATAGGACGAAACGGCATTCCAGTGCTTCCAGGTTTTCCATGGTGATCTAGCTTCAATCAACTCATGATTTCAACTATAAAGTTACTGAAATCTCCGAAAAACCTGATAATTTATCAAGTGTAGGATCACTGAAAAATTAATAATTACTCATTATTTATGGTCGCCTAGTTTATACTTCTTGAACAGTGTTTACTACGATGACACTGCACGAAACCTAACGCACGACATTCAAATTCCATGGTATTCACGATAATTTAAGAGCACTGTATAGTAACTCAGTTGTTTTTATTAACAATTTACTATTTTCGTCAATATTATACTTTTATGATAATGACGTCATAAATGGGTTTTTTTGTTTTTATCTTTATAAAATGACGGCTGATTACTCTTTATTTTAGCGAAACCATTGAAGGAGTTCCAAGAAATTTCATTATTCCATTCCATTGCATTGAAGTAAATGAATCATAAATGTCGCTTTTTGTTACGTAATAACAATGATAAGAAGTTGCTTTCGGTTTTTTTCCAATACATTACGTTGCCTCTATCATAGACATAAATATAGGCATGCACAAGCGTGTGCTCCTTTTATATACCCATATCGTAGACACACTCTAACCTGATCCACACATGTCAGTATACGTTAAACAAGAATGTCATAGTTCAACTTAATTGATTAGTTAATCAACTCAATTCATGTTGGAGTAACTAAGGTAACTAAAAAATTGGAAAGTTTAAGAAAGACTAAATAAGAAATAGTGATTAGAGCTCAGTTCATTTGTGAAAAAAAATTACCGACAATGATTAAAAATAATTACTAAAAATTATTATTATCAGAAGGGGTTTTTGTGGAGATTTGGTATTTTCATAGTTGGAAGCGTGAGTCAATTGAAGCTAGACCACCATGGAAAACCCGGATGCACTGGACGGCCGTCTCGTCCTATTATGGGAGTCCTCATCAGTGCGCATCCTCGATCCCGCACTCGCGAGATTCGAACCCAGGACCTACTAGTCTCGCGCCAGAGCACTTAACCGATAGATCATTGAACCGGCATCCAATGGTGTTAATGTCTAACTTCAACTGATCCACGAAATTGAGCGACCGTTCACCAATTGTGTTCAATGAGTTGATATCTCATAACCGACGTGGTTTGAACTCTACTGGCCACTCTTCTCACTAGAACTCCTGGATTTACCTCTCGAGGTCGGGACGAAACGGCCGTCCAGTGCCTCCAGGTTTTCCATGGTGGTCTAGCTTCAATTGACTCACACTTTCAATCAATAATTATATTAAATTCTATTTTCGAAAATACTGTAAACACTTAAGGTTTTTGATAGATAAGTCTAGCTATAAGGTTTGTAAAGCATTTCCACTATTTGAACAAGATATTATTTACAATTAATAAGCATTAAAGAGCTAGACGAACATGACATTGGTCAT